ACACACACACACACACACACACACACACACACAGGTGCAAAGAAAACTCTACACTGTTGAACGCTGCAGGACTGGAGGTCAACATGTACAGGGGATTTTCTACTATGCAGGTGACCTGAAGCTTTAGGATTTGTGTAAACAGATCTGCTTACTGCATTTGAATTTGGAAATAGACTGCTGCTCTTGGCAGCTAGAACTTGCAATGTGGCTGCTCTTTCCTGTATCGAGCAAGAGGCACCAGAAGTAGCTTGCCATTCAGCTGTCCCAGAGATCTCAGCCCTGCAGGCCAGAAGAAGGGGCAGCCACCAAGCTGAACTGCAGAATGTGAGTGAGGTTCTCACTCTGACAAATGAGGCACATAGCTCTGGAGTCATCTGTCTGGATCCTGGAAATAGTACCAGATGGTGCCTGGACTGGATTTCTGCTAGCATACATTTCCCCCTATATCTGATGAAGAGCAGAAGTGTGCAGAGGCTGTTGGAACTAATAAATCTTGCCATAGAGAAATGCACGGTCAAGCAACTGTCTCCTCAAGACAGCTCGCTGATGAGCAGGGTTACCAAGCCGAGAAGTTGGCCCTGAAATCCTGCTCCAAAATGACAAAGTGCAAGAAAAGCAGTTTTTCCCTTGACAACACTATAGATGGTACTCCATTCAGCTCCTGTGTTAAAGTATTCAGGAAATATTCAGCACCAGCCCTGTGCTGCCGTGGCCTGGGTTGTGGCTGGGGATGTTGGAGAGGGAGCCACTTGTAGGTGGGGGATCCAGGAGCTGCGGTCCATCCTGCATCCCCAAATACACGCAGTCCCTTGAAGCAAGCTTTGAGTTGATTTGAGTTCTTCTTAAATATAAACATATATAGGTGTGGGAGGCCAACCTTATGGGTGACTGAGTTACACTCCCCAGCTGGGTGCTGAGGCACTCAGTCACAGAAATTGGTGTGTCTTGCTACAGCCCCATGGGTGAAGCTATGCTCACCTATTCCTTTGTAATATAACCCTTTGCACTGTTTAGGATAGAATCTTCCATGGAAGTGCCTTGTGTGTGTCCCCTCCTCTTACTGTGCCCTTGGGTGTAGCCTACCCAGGTGTCAGTCAACCTGCTGACAATGGACATCATGAAGATAGACTCAGCCCCCTGAAACCTGCTTCTCCTCAATAAAAGGGGTCAGCACGTGCTCTCGCTCTCTCTCTTTCTGCAGACCCTTAAGGTCAGAGGAGCTGTCACAGCGACCCCAAAGAAAAAGGTATTTGTGTCTCTTGTGTGGTTATTTTGTGCAGCCCAGTTAGCCCAGTTTAACTAGAATGACCCCTGAGCCTTTTAGACGCGAGAACAGAAACCCGGCATATAGGCTCACTGCAAAAAATACGTGTGGAAGTGTGAAGTTGAGAATGTAAAACATCCCAACAGGGGAGCTAATATAAACGTGTGTGTGTGTGTGTGTGTGCGCGCGCGCGCGCACTCACGTGCATGTGTGTGTTCTCCCCATTCAGCTCACAATTACCTGTACATTCAGGTCAGAGGAACTCAGTCTAGAGCCTGGGATATCCAGGAGAAGTGGGCTCCCTGCACTTGCTAAAGGTGGCAAATCTGAATAAACCTGGGAAGCCCAGCAGTCCTGGTGCCCAGGAAGGGGTCTCCCCAGGCTTCACCATGTGCCCTGAAACCACTGGGCTGCTTGACGGCAGACCTGATCTTCCTCCAGCATGGAATGGCCTGAGCACCTGCAGTAACAAAGCTGGGTGTGCCCTT